TATATATATATATATATATATCTCTCTCTCTTACGTTGTAACGGGAAGATTTCGCCAAAGCACTTTTATTGTCTACAATAAATCGTCGGACGGATAAAGAGATGGCACATACCTATACGAGGAAAAAAGTGTTGCTCGGTTGCACCGGTAGCGTGGCTACCATCAAACTGCCGGAGCTAGTGCACAAGCTGCTGGACAGGGATATGGAGGTGAGGGTAGTCGTAACGGAGCGAGCCAAGCACTTCATAAAGGACGTGGACTTGCCGCCGGGCGTTCAAGTGCTGTCCGACACGGTGGAGTGGGCGGCTTGGCAGGGCCGAGGCGATCCGGTGATTCACATAGACCTGATGAAATGGGCCGACATCTTTGTGATAGCGCCGCTGGACGCCAACACTATGGCGAAGATAGCCAATGGCATATGTGACAATTTGCTCACTTGTGTGGCGCGCGCCTGGACCAATACAAAACCGGCCATCTTCTGCCCGGCCATGAACTTCAATATGTGGCAACATCCGACCACTGCGCCGCAGGTAAGATAAAGAAAAAAGATTACACAGTGAAGGTTCAGCTAAGGGATCGCTCTTACTTGAAATTACACAATTGTTTTTATTGGTTTATGATATCGGAGCAAAAAGATAAAAGAAGGATATCTGAGAAGGTTTGCACGTTAAAAGCGTCGTTCTATCTTTATTGCCCGTCACACGCTGAAGGAAAATAGAACAATGCTTTCAGCACGAAAGCATACGAGACGAACTTATCTCAAATGTCTATCTAAATGTTTAAGGATTGATATAACAAAGGATTCTTCATGTTGCAGGTGGAACTGCTCAGATCCTGGGGTTACAAAGAAGTGTCCTGCATAAAAAAGCTGCTCATGTGCGGCGACGAGGGGATGGGTGCAATGGCCGAGGTGGATACGATCGTGCAAACCACCGTGCGCATGTTGGAGCCCCGGGATTCTTACATGTATTCGGCATCCTAAACGGCGTCGTCATCCTCCATCGACGATGCGAGCATTAACGAGAACGTGCTGTCATAGTCCTTGTCAAGACATGTGCTACGGACGCGCTTCATTCAAATACACGCAGACTTCACTTGGTTAGGGCCGTGTACAAGTTAGCGAAGGTACTAATGATGAGTATTTTGTTGAGCATCCTCAATTGTAAGCATTTTTCAGTGTTACTTTAGTAACAAGCCTCGAAGGAAGCGCCAACTCGTAACTATCTCGTGTAATTTTGCATTTATTTGATATGTTTCTATTATGAGGGATAAATCAAGCCAAGTATTGTAAAAAATAATATGCGACGTTCACGATATGACGAATAAAAATTTACGGAAGGGAAACGGGATTGTCGGTAATTTTCCTGAGAAATTACAGTTTCGCAGTTTACGATACACATTTATTTATCTGAGATAAATAAGTACGAAATACTTTTCACTGGTGCCATCGGGAGAGTCTATAATTATTTATGAAACGATATCGATAAGCGGGGATAACGAGGAAAATGTTGATTTGTTGTTAATAAATTTCTTCCGGATACGGTGTTGCTTCTTTAAAAATGCGTTGCTCGTGATGAGCACCCGTTGAATTGCATCATGACGAGCGAAATAATTGATGGCGATTATTACTGATTCTAACGGTATCGGGGAAATGGTGAAGTCGTGGATATGCGGGTAAACAGAGTTACGTACGTTCGAAGAAACATCACGATCACCGTATGCTTTGCTTAAAAGAGATAAATCAATCGTCACATCGAAGGAACAAATGAGATAATTCAGGGGATGACAAATTTTGCCTGTCCGTCAGTTGCGTCAAGATGCGATATAAAAAAATAATACACTGTAAAAAAATGAAAAAAGATTCAGTTAACATATTCTAAAATTGATGCGCCTGAATGTACATGCTTTTGTTAAATATACGAACATCACATGACAGAAAATTGATTTATATAGGACGTTTCCCTGAATCTTCCAGAAACACGTACAATCTGAATATTTTAATACAATATACAAAACTTCCAATATCCCCTACATGTTTTCTTAGATTTTTCAAATAAGAGAATAATATAAAACTTTGATCATGCGCAATTATATACTTATTGGTAGATTTATAATTACATATCTACATCAATTTTAATTCTCCGATTCAAAGTTTTTATTAAAAATTCGATTATATTTATTACTTACAATTTTATATATATATATATACTTAAGATTATTTATAAATTACATAATAATATAAAAATTATATAATGATTATTGTGTAATTAAGTGGCGATATTCAGTAAAATCATTTTATTTCCGTATATACACATATAAAGCACGATCTTACGATATATCGTATGATATTACAGCATATAATCGGCACATTATGCTAATTTTCCCTTAAGTTTGGAATAAACGAAGGGCTGGCGAGACGAACACTGAGTCTTCTTGTCTCGGTCCTCTCGATTGGACCGCGCGAGATAATCTTGCCCGGATGCACTTTCCCCGTGATAAAGATATTCAACCAAAAAGAAATCGATATAACCGAAATATTATTTATATATAAATTTGCATCCGTCTGTTTCAACGGACACGCGATTAATTCAGTGACACGCGCGACCTTAATGTATAATCATTATATAATTATTCATAACACACGTATATACGGGGTGAGTACATGGAAATGCTTGGATAAACTTTACGCAGGCGTGAGATTTGGATGATATATGGATCTGATCTTTTTGCGAAAGCTTAATTGGTAGAGATCATCGGCATTTTTTTTATCTTTCGACGAGAAGAAAATCGATCGAAAGGCCAATGCTCGCGCAGTTCGTCCATGCATTTCGGAAAAACAACGCCGTATATAGATCTGCAAGATCGAATTTATTGCAATATACTTTTGTATTTTATTTTTTTGCGCTACACTCTTTGATATTATTATGCTAGCTAGGTCGACCGCGCGGTATATAAATATCACAGTTTATAAAACTGGCGACACGTTGCCCGTGTCCTCTTCTGCTAAATTAATGCGATATCAATTAATACAATATCTATATAAAATACGTGCTCTGTCGTGGATTATCTTATCGCCTAGAAATTCCCTTTCGAGTGATCGCTTCGCGTTTATGGAAGGACGATTAAAGGAGCATCCTTATCGGTGGCTTTAATATCCTTGAAAAGGATAACAGCGGGGATCTCTATCTCGATTGTAAAATTGTAAACTGTAAAAGGAATATCGAAATGTTGGATGGATTCTTTTGGCAGTGGTTGGTTCGTTAATCGTTAGGATAGTAAGGATTCGTCCACCTATATAAATTATGTCTTAAGTTAAAATCGTACATCGTAAATGCAGCCGTGTAAAAAGACAGTGTACAAAAATATGCGTGCGGCAGCGCAACTTTGTCCGGTAAATAGAGATGACTCGGACCTAGATCATACACAGAAGAAAGGCCAATCCTTGTTGGGCTGTTGCGGAATTCTCGCGAAAGAGAAACTTTCGATTTTAGGCTTTCTTAGAATTTTAGATCATGAGAAATCCGCAAAAATCCCCGCACCAACATATATCGTTGGTTCAATTTATCAAAGAGCGGAGCATATCTTACGTTCATTCAAATTAGCTACGATTTTAGTTGCCGTACCTTTCCGACCTTATTTTATGATATCGTCAATAGAATTCCGAGATAATTTGGTTGACGTCTTTCATTTCGCGAAGAAAAAAATCCTCTCCTTAGAGGCGCACCGCAAAAAAAAAAGGTGGCTCGATATCATCCGCAGAGCTTTCTTCGAACCGTGTAATCTTCGTGTGGAGAATCGGCGGGGAAATCTCGAGGATGCGACGTCGCGTGCGTCGCGCTATGCGAGCGATCTCTCCTTCGAAATCTCGCTCAATCCGTCGACCAGCGAGGGCAGTCGCGCCTTCTCGTGCCCCGCTCGTCGACCCATCGACGACCCTCCGACGTTAAAATCCGATTAGCTTGTTTGACGTTCGTACACGCGCGCAAAATCTCCCTGTGTAAAGGTGTGATACCCCGTCGCGTAGTCGGCTGAAAGGATACGCGCGTTACAGCGGCAATCTGAAAGCACACGACACTGTGACAGCTTCTGTTTTTAAATCCTTGATTTACGCATCTGAACTGAATGCGCCGGATTTTTCGCTCAAGTTATGTCAAATTTCTCTCGCGAAATTTCTCGTTATCACTGCAAAATGTTTAGTTAAATATTGCATATCATTACATACATCGTATAACTTGATGTATTTTCGTAACAATTATAAATTATTACACATTGTTTCTTAAAAGTGAACTCGAACGCTCGATGTTAATATTAAGAGAAAATTAATATCTTTTATTGCGTCCGCTTGAAGAGCTTCGTTTCCAAAATTATATTTCCATGCGACTTCGAACTCGCTAATCGGAGTGTATGACAAGTAATTGTTATTACTCACAGTATCCTTGTGAAGAAACTCATGACGACCATTGCGAATATCGGAGTGACTGCATTCGCGGTGGAAGGTAAGATGACAATCAACGATTTCCTGGGCAGATTGGTCTCGATGTCGTTGGTCTCTACTACTGGCGGACAGCCCATCCAAACCGGTGCCGAGAGCTTCTGCTTCTCGTGAGCCACCTTCATCCTAAGGTCATCAAATTCCCAGAAGCCCTTGCCTTTGAAGAAGTACGTCTTACCTGTCGAAAAGGAGAACCGAATCTAATGATCGAGTGGTGATACACGAAATGTGAGAAAGAGAGAGGAATTTGAGAATTTTTATTTATACAATTCTTATTTATATTATTATTATATTTTAATAAGCAATTTCGGATATTTCAAATGATTATATTTTTATGCCGTTGTAATTTTATTGAATGATTTATGCGCGATAGCAATAAGTCAAAACGACGCATGTATTGCATCACAAAATTAGAGCGGCATAAATAAACGTTTCATTTTGCCGGAAAAGTTCGAAATCACTTGTTACACAACCTAACATTGTAATATTATTTCCTTCTTTTCATAGAATTTTCGAGATAGCGATTACTCAATTGATGTATAAAACTTACCGTTCTTCCATTGAAACACGGCATCGATGTCGTTTCCAACGCCGGCGAACATGCTTATGTCCCTGGGATAATCCAGCTCCACGTAATTGACAGTTTCATCGAACCTGCGCGATAGAGAAAGGGACGTTGATTACCACCGTAACCCGGATTATCGAGCGTAATTACCGTCCGTACCGCGATCAGCTATTCTATATGAACACCAACAGAAGTTACTCCAATTACCTCCAGTACATGGAGCCACTGAAGAAGTAGGTCCTGCCGTTGTGACCCCACACCATGGCACCGTCAATCTTCTCCAAAACAGCCGGTAGCCCCAGATTAGTCAATGGCTTCGGGTAACCCGCCTCCAGGATGTTGGCGTTGAAGACGTAGTACTCGCGACCGATGAAAAAGACTATCTTCTTGTCCGGCCGCTCGTAGACAGCGTCCACGTGGTCAATGTCTAACGGCAGGTTGAACAGCCTAACAATCTCCGCTGGGTATCCCTCATAAATACCTTGCTCGCCTATTCTCCATAAATACTGCACGGGCAACGGAAGATTCGTTAGTAGCGGCCTTCTGTGACTACAAGTAATTTTATCTACTCGTTATTATATCAGCCGAAATTTACCGACAAAAGTTATTATTGTTGGGGTAGTGAAAAAAAAATTCGATTTTTTAAATAAAATTTAATGTAATCCCATACAATAAAAACATCACTCATTGATTAAGTAATTCTCGCAGATATATGATTTTTTGCCAACGTTCTGGCAACATTCATGTAAGTCTGTTATTATTATTGAAAAAGTATTATATTATTAAAATATAATATTATTATATTATCATTAATATATATATATTGTTGCGAAAAAAGTTAATTTCTCTAATATTTATTTCAACAAACACGATGCATTTATCATCGTCTATCGCTTTCCGATTAACACAGTTATAAGGAGATTCTGCTCACGCGAATTTGAACGATCGCGCGGGAATAAACATGAGCATCCAAGACGCTCGCGCACGACGTCACGCATGATTTTGCGAACGACGATGATCTCAATTTCTTTCTTATTCGTGACTCGACTATCGAACGTTTGCAAAAGTTCGAGAATCTATTCAATAAAACCAGTTTTTGCTCGCAGTCAACCAAGTGAAATTCTTTCTTGAATACTTCCCGTTCAACTGCCACACGAACAATATATTATATATTAATTTATATAATAATTTTTCATAATAATATAATAATATTTTTGCAATAATATAACATGATAAATATAATATAATATAATGGTTATTAATAAAATAATCGTTATACAGCGGAAATAATATCGCGCGGATCTAATAATACTCTTTCAAGATTCGTCATTCCACTTACCCGTCCCTTGAAGACGAAGACTTCCCTGCGGATGATGCTGATTGCGTCGTAGCTGGTGTCACACTTGTCGGGCACGTCATCCCGTTGCAACGGGGTCCACCGATGCCTGAATCTCGGTGTCGGTCGCATCGTCGTCGTCGTCATCGTCGTCGTATGGTGCCGGTGCGGTTTGCGCGGCCGATAGTCCGGCTTTTGCGGATAACGGCCCAGTGGTGGTCGAGGTCTGCCGTCATCTGGATAATGATTGGGCCTGGTGGGAGGCCTGGTCCTCCAAGGCCTGGACGTCGTCGGGACGAACGTCGTCGTTGTCGTCGGCGGTGGTGGTCTTTCCGGAGGTAGCGGACCACCTGGTATACTAGCCCAGAGCTTCCCCTCGGGAGCGCCTAAGGAGCGGATTTTAATTCATTTTATCGCCTTCTCAATTTTGAGCGATAATGTGTAGACTTTTATTTCGATTTATGTGCACGGAAAAATATTGTAGTAAAAATCACCACAAAATTGTGTAATGTTGGGTCACACCAGAATTTGACTGAAATTATAATGTGTGTTGTAATCTTTAATGATGTGTACAACGAAGTATCACTAAAGATTACAACACACATCATAATTTCAATTATAATCCCGGTATAGTTCAACATTACAGAATTTTGTGGCAATTTTTACTACATTTTCTCCGTGTATACTCTGTTACTTTTTTTTTCTTTCATTATACAAAGATTTTTTATACTTTTTCTCGTTTGCGGATTACACAAGTGCATTTATGGATATGCCAAAGGGAATAATTAATACCCGTTAGATACAAATGCGTCAACCGATACGACTTCGTCAAATAAATATTATTGCTAAGTGGGATATCGTTTGCTAAACTGCGTTGATAAATCGGCGCGAGTTGACGCTTGTCCGAGCGGATGTCCCAAACCGATTCATTCAATCAGCACTGAGAGCGAAGGAGAGAGGGTGAGTAAGCGTTCTGCGCGAGCAGAAGGGAGGGAAGGCGAAAGAAAGAAAAAGAGTCGATTCTTACATCAGCGCGATGAATACACCTGCCGTCTTTCACGACGGCCCGGTGAAAAGAAATCCCGGATCAGGATTGATATCGGATAAATTGGACGCGCCGGAGCGACATGCTCGCTGTAGACAAGCCGGCTGTAAAGGAGAAGAGAGGCCACAATTTGACGTTTAAATAATATTTAATTAAATTACATTTATCATTCGGAGGAACGATAAATCGTTAAATGCGGGATGTCTCTCTCTTCACCTTGATACAAAATGTTATTTTCCCCGTTCGGAATTCGATTGTCGGAACTCGGATGGCACAGCACGCACCAATTAATCAAAGAATACAACTTCATTAGTATCCCGCTTCGAGCGAGATACCTCTTTTTCCGCGAGTTTTTTTTTATTTTATCTCGCATTCGCGATTTTCGTAAAGTATCGGTTACCGCAATTTTAATTAGCCTGCCGAAACTGTTTGCCAATTTCGGAGCGAGCGGGACGTTTTTTCCATCGGTCGTGCTTGCTTTCGACCGGAGCCGAGCATCAATAAAATGCGATTCGCCGAGGGGCTATTGACTCTCTCGATATACGGACATTATTTCTCTTTGTCGGTCAGCAAGCGATCGGGCTTTTAAATGCCTCTCCCCGCAGAAGTTGATTTTGCGCTTCCGCTTCGCCCCGGAAATTGAATTTTTCGATATTACATATACGCTCGTATTATATCCGCACGCCCCCGCGAGCGGCAATAGTATCTATATTTTTATTACTTCTGCCAGACCTCATTTGCTTCCGTTTCTCGCGTTACATCGAATTCCGATGCTCGACCCAACACCGAGGCGGGTAATCCAAACGGCGGCGCCGGAGTCGCGCGCGCGACGATAATCACGCGCGAACACGAACGAACAATGCCACTCATCATCGTTCCTGATCGCGTCTCTAAACGCAGTCGTTAAAATGCAGATTATGCGCTACCGGTACAATGCGCTTTGATCTGGCCAACGCGAGAGAGCCCGCAAACGAATCAGTCGGATGTACACACGATGTTGCCGAGATTTCCGAGTCGACGCCGGTAGCGTTTTTCCGATAACACAAGGATCCGTGAAAATCGATTATTTCATTTCGATTTATGCACATCCCTTTAGTAAAAAGATGCATAATAATAATTCGGAAAAATTTACATATGCAAAGATTTTATAACAGAAGATTTGAACATAGCCAAAGATATATGACTGATATCGATGTTGTTATCAAAATCATTCGCGTGAATCGCTAATCTATTTGAATTTATCGTGAAGAGTACGATCCAACGTAAAAGAGGGGATTATTTTTTACGGTTCGAAGGGAAACGAGACCAGCCGCAACAATGAAATGAAAAGAATGAAAAAAATTGAAATGAAAAAAGAAATTATTATAAAGACAGAGGCGTGGATAATTCGATGGCATCGCCAGAAATTATTATTATTATTATTTATTTACGTGAAAATTTCCTTTGGTCACATCGATTACAAGTAGAGATTCGATATATGGTTTCGAAAGAAAAAAAATAAAAAAAGAAAGAATATAAAAATTTACATTAAAATAAATTATAAATGTTTTTTTTACATTAATCGTCTTAAATGAAGATAATAAGAAATGATGAAAATCGGTGATATCACTAAATAAATTTTCGCAAGTGAACATAAACGATCTATAGGTTGAAATTTGCTATAAAAAGTGAGATAGAATGCGAAACGATGGACACCTTCTAAAGAATCTAACGGGAACATTTAACGCAAGTGATTCCAATAACTCCGAGCATTCTCAATCAGGTCTCTCAGAATTTCAAGAAAAACAAGTCTGAAAGAATCCTTCTGTTCTTCAAGGCTAATTATCCGACGACCGTAAATATTGCCAGTGTATTCTCATGGCAAGTAATCAGCATGGATTTACCCAAAAAGATACTAACTCTTCTAAGAAATCAGTACTAGAGACGTTAAATATCCACTTTGATATGGCGGCAGATAGTAGAGCATTAAGATGAGGACGATGCAGAGAACGGATAAAATTTTTGGAACGCGTAGACCTTTAAAATTATTGGAATAACGCAACGGGAAACCTTCCTACCTACAGTTTTCTGTAAGCTACGGATGTACAACCATGCTCATAGAATTAAATTGCCAATGACATGAGACGCATCTCCCCGCGGATATTGAGAAGATAGCACGGAGCAACGTACATGACCACGTCATACCTCCAGCGAAATGTACACGAGCATAAATCTCGCTCGATGTTGTATTACGTCCGAGCAAAAAATATCTCGCTAGCAGGAATGTTTTGCGAAGTCAAATCACCGTCGCGGGACGATAAATTTTCGGAGGACGTGCGCGCGATCGCTGTACCGTCAAGATTTGGTTTTATCGCAATATCGGTGGCGCGTTATCGCGCCGATTCTCTCCCCCTCCCCTCCCCCCTTTCCTCTCTCACTCGAGGAGCATTACGCTTAGGTAGTCAAATCGCTCGTTAATTTCGACCGCTAGTGCGAAAATCGAATTGACGGCCTGAAATTACGAGGAACGTTCGCGCCAAATCGCGTATTCTTCCTCGGACATGCACACGTGGTCACAACGAATGCAGCAGCGCTCAATTTTGCTCGCGTGTCGCGCACGCCGCCGTGTTGTGTGTACACAACGGCGTGCCGAAATTTACGTTATCGAGCGCACCGACATTTGCGTAATGCGTGTCAAGAGGCCGTACGCGATTGTTGAAACGAAACGATAAACGCATCGTATTCATATTTCCGCGATATGCGCATTGTATATATGGTATAGTAATATAAATAAATGAATAAATAAACAAACATATACATGTACAGGGTGTCGAAAATTTTTCTTCCAATTGTTCGCGCGGAGGAAGAACGGGTTAAAGGGAAAAAGTCATCTACCGTTTTACAAACAATCACGCAACATTTATTAATGATTTAAAATGACCATGTATAGAGGCTTCTTTAAGTAATAACTGAAAAATTTGCGTTTTATTTGTATTTTGTTTGCAAAATGGTAAAGGACTTTTTTGTTCAGAGTAGCCGAATTTACAAGACTACTATTGTACCCGGCGACAAATTCAAAGTTCGAGGTTTAAGGTTCAATACATTGATGTCGTTAAATAGCTGCCACATAGACTAGGCCACTCTGAAGAAAAAAAGTCTCCTACCATTTTGCAAATAATATGCACATTTTTGAGTTATCAATTAAAGAAACCTCCATACATGGCAATTTTCAATTATTAATAATTCGAAATTTTGCGTAGTTGCTTGCAAATTGGTAGAGAATATTTCTCCTCGGTTTAACCCGTTCTTTCTTCGCACGAGCGATTGAAAGAAAAGTTTCGGACACCCTCTCTGTGTGTGTGTGTGTGTGTGTGTGTGTGTGTGTGTGTGTGTGTGT